ACAGCTACATGTAAGAGAATGAAACTGGATCATTGTCTAACCCCATACACGAAAGTAAATTCGAAATGGATCAAAGACCTGAATGAAAGTCATGAAACTATAAAACTCTTAGAAAAAAACGTAGGCAAAAATCTCCTTGGTTATAAACATGAGTGACTTCTTCATGAACATATTTTCCCAGGCAAGGGGAACAAAAGCAAAAATGAACAAGTGGGACTATATCAAGCTGAAAACCTGTACAGCAAAGGACACCACCAATAGAACAAAAAGGCATCCTACAGTATGGGAGAATATATTCATAAATGACAGATCTGATGAAGGGTTGACATCCAAAATATATAAAGAGTTCATGCACCTCAACAAACAAAAAGCAAATAATCCAATAAAAAAAATGGTCAGAGGAGCTAAATAGATACTTCTCCAAAGGAGAAATTCAGATGGCCAACAGGCACATGAAGAGATGCTCCACATCGCTAATCATCAGAGAAATGCAAATTAAAACCACAACGAGGTATCACCGCACACCAGTAAGGATTATCACCATCCAAAAGACAAACAACAACAAATGTTGACAAGGTTGTGGAGAAAGGGGAACCCTCCTACACTGCTGGTGGGAATGTAAATTAATTCAACCATTGTGGAAAGCAATATGGAGGTTCCTCAAAAAGCTCAAACTAGAAATACCATTTGACCCAGGAATTCCACTTCTAGGAATTTACCCTAAGAATGCAGAAGCCCAGTTTGAAAAAGACAGATGCACCCCTATGTTTATCGCAGTACTATTTACAATAGCCAAGAAATGGAAGCAACCTAAGTAGCCTTCAGTAGATGAATGGATAAAGAAGATGATACATATGCACAATGGAATATTATTCAGCCATAAGAAGAAAACAAATCCTACCATTTGCAACAACATGGACAGAGCTAGAGGGTATTATGCTCAGTGAAATAAGCCAGGCGGAGAAAGACAAGTACCAAATGATTTCACTCATATGTGGAGTGTAAGAACAAAGAAAAAACTGAAGGAACAAAACAGCAGCAGAAACACAGAACCCAAGAATGGACTAACAGTTACCAAAGGGAAAGGGACTGGGGAGGATGAGTGGGAAGGGAGGGATAAGGGGGGGAGGAAAAAATTGGGCATTATGATTAGCATGTATAATGTGAGGGGCGGGACACGGGGAGGGCTGTACAACACAGAGAAGACAAGTAGTGATTTTACAGCATCTTACTACACTGATGGACAGTGACTGTAATGGGGTTTGTGAGGGGGACTTGGTGATGGGGGAGTCTAGTAAACATAATGTACCTCATGTAATTGTAGATTAATGATACAAAAAAAAACACTATCTCATAAGAATATTGTCTAGAAATAAGCATTTCAAATGCCATAATTAAAAGGAAAATTGATTATGCACTACAAGATGAGCATTTATCACTGAGAAATATCTAAAAGGAAGTGCTGTGTTAACCTGTCATGCAACATCTATTTTGGTTACCACCTTATAACACTCGTGAAAAACTAGTTATTATAAGTGCTTTTGAAATTAACTGTATGGCAAGTTACAGCCAAATCCCGCCATCTCACCTTTAAAAATAAAGTTTTATTAGAATATATTTGTTAGCCATGCTCATTCATTTACATAATATCTAATGGATGCTTTCAGTATGAGAGCTAAGTTCAGTAGCTGGCATGCAAAGCGTCAAACATCTATTATCTGGCTCTTCACAATACAGCAGGCTAAAACATCTAGTAAATAATTTTACTCTTCTTGGAAGCCAGCATAGATATCTGGATCTTAACTCATGGAGTTCATATTCTAGTACAGTGACAAGACTTGTATGCAAATAACTTAAAAGGTATAAAAAATTAAGTGCTTTAAGAGCAGTCAAGAGTGTCAGGAAAAGGGAAGAGATTTTTTTGCCAGTGAGGAAATCTTGAAGGAAGCAGCTTTTGCAATGCGTTTTGAAGGATGGCTATAATTTGTACATAAAGGATGGGGAGATTTCCAGTGTAAAAAAAAGTAGAGTTGTGAAAATAACAAACAGGACAGTAAGTTTTGCGAGGAGCACAATTAGGAGAAATGCTAAGAAGCATTTTGAAGCCATTTTAAATACAACTAGGTTCAAGAGCAAGGAAGAAACAGTGATTAGAACTGTGGTTTAGGAAGATCAATAAGCCAACAGTATTTAATTCGATGAGAGAGACAGGTGATAAGCTAGTTACAATTAAAATAATCCAAGTAATGAAGGTAGGAGCAATGGGACTGGAAAAAACTGGAATAAACACATTACTATCATAGCAAAACCACTCAAACACTTAACGATCTAGCAGCATCTTGATATAATACAAACCTTTTATTATTATGGGATAAAAACTTTCATCTCCCCTACGTTTGAACAAAATGATATTCCTAATTTATTCTGATAATTTAAAAAAGAGAAACTGTTTAAATAATAACTAAAAGCACTGAACTACCTACCACTTTCCTATTTCAAAACTAACTCTGGATACAAGCACATATTAAAACAATTCATTTGCTAGGGTCCCCTCTGCAGGACCACTGGAAGGAAAAGTCTCATGTTAAATCTGGCCTCTTAAATGCTTCTGCTGAATTGCTGAGAACAATAGATGGATTTGCTTCATAGAGCTCCTCTCCAGGTATATCAAATGGACTCTTCAGGACAGGAACCATAAAATACCTTGCCCCGTACTTCCCAAAGCACCAGTAATTTTAGTAATTTTATTGATGTTCAAATTGTTAATTTTTAAATGAGATTTTACATTCAAATCTCAAAAATACTTAAATCATATACTCAACTAAAAATTTTACTTTTCAGTACAAGGATAAGCTGGAATTCACCAGACTGATTTTTTTTAAATGGGTAAGGAAATTATAGTAAAGAACAGTTTTATATTCTACTGATTAAGAACTTATATGCACTCCCTCGTCAGCTGGCTTTTAGCTGGGCTCTACCAATGCAAGATAATGATACACTGGTGGAGTGGAGAAAGGAAGAAGACAGAGTATTTCTCCCTGCCTTTTTCTCTACCTAAGACTTAGTCTCCTCAGTGGCCCCACTCCTTCTGGAAAAGTCTAGTTCCTAGCAGGTAACACTAGCCCCTGGCCTCAAGGACACATTTCCTACCTGTATCCCTTCATTTATCACTACTTGCTTCTTACTACTGCTAATTTCTAGGTTATTTCATCATCTTTTTTGGCTTCTCAAGTGTTCCATCACCTATGTAGCCAATTCCCTGCATTAAATTCTTTTATGAAAATAAAGAGGGCGGGTGGGAAAGAGAAGAAAGGAAGGAAGAGCAAAAGGCCTAGGCCTGTCTTTCCTGACTCTAGTATACCCACTGTCAGCTACCACCAGCCTCACTTCACGGTGGGAAAGCAGCAACTATAACATGAGTAAACTTTCTAGATCACTTGTGTAAACCCGTCCTCAAACTGAGGTACATTGCTTTGTATTACATAGTATGCTGGGATAAAATTACAGGAAAAGCATAGCATATTTTTCTGTGTCCATGGTAAGTGAATTAAAAAATTATTTGTATATTAAACAAACCAGTTAATTCAATGGGGGAATAGTCTGCAACAAATGGTGTTGGGACAACTTGATATCCACTTGCAAAGAATAAAGTTGGAGCCCCCTTACCTCATGCCATATATAAAAATTAACTCAAAATGGATCACAGACCTAAATTTAAGAGTGGAAACTACAACAAAGTTGTACATCGTTGACCCTGGATTAAGCAATGGCTTCTTAGGTATGACACCAAAGCAGTAGTAACCTAAGAAAAATAATAAATAGAACTAACTCAAAATTAACTTTTGTGCTTCAAAGAACATTATCAAGGTGAAAAGACAACCCAAAGATGAGAGAAAATATTTGCAAATTATATCTATGAAGAGATTTGTACCTAGAATATATAAAGAAATCTTACAACACACAGAAAAATAACAAATAATCTGATTTTAAAACGGGAAAATGGTATCGAGACATTCTCCAAAGATGATAAACAGTCAACATCTTTGGCCATCAGCGATATGCAACTCCAAACTACAATGAGAGTTTTCTGGGGCAGAATGCAGGGAGGTAGAATGACTGCAAAGGGGTGTGAAGGACCTTTCAGGGGAGAAGGAAATGTTCTACATCTTGATCAAGGTATCAAAGTCATCACCTGTACACTTAAAATAAATGAATTTTATTATATGTATATTATACTTCAAAATTTTAATAAGTATGAGCCATCTAGAGTCAATTTCTTCAACAGAAAAGCAAGAAGCAACAAAGTATCAAATATGTTCATTTGCCTACCTATGCTTATTATAATAATTAACAAAAACTAAAAGAGAAGCAATTTTTATGCCTGAGAAAAGGAGGTATCAGATTAAATGATGGAAAGGCCTTTTCTTTTAGAAATATAGAAAATGACTCAAGTATTAGATAAGCACACATTTAGGGTTGTTTCTGCTAAAACTGTGGGTTTCACAGGAAAACAATGTTTTGGTTGATAAAATATAAAATGTTCCTATTAGGTGTTATTACTGTGTACTATCAATGGTAACTTTACGTGCACCATTACAACTGAGCAATTATATTTAGCAGAAACTGAATAACCACAAAAGTATTCTCATAAGAAACTACTTTGCTAAAAAAAATTTCTAGGGAATTGATGACGTCTTAACAGCTCATTTCCAAGGATCTTTACACAAACAATTTTTTAACATCAGTGTAAGTTTTTAGAAATGACCTTGTATGACTGCTTAAAAATAACTGAGCTTCACAGCTTATGGAAAAAAGATCCCTTATAAAGACAAAATAAAACTAGTGAAACTTTTAAATATTCCTTCTAATAATTTTGTAAATTATACTCGATATACTTTATTGACAAATAACTAAGGCAAGCAAAAACATCAAATTCACAAGTTCAAGTTTTTAAAAATTGTATTTCTAACAATGTAGTAGAAAAACATAGGTTCCCTTACCTCTTCATCATCATCAGAATCATCCCCAAACACTGATGGTTTTTGCAAAACAGGGTGCAACTGCTGTGCTTTCTTTGGCAAAATAAGCCCATACCTGCATTTTTTTTTTGAAATAGAAATTATACCATTATATTTAAATGTTACAAAATAAGACATACACTACTTCTTCCAGATGAAGCTACCAAGTCAAAACATGTCATATAGTTTATGAACACATAACATGGTTTCTGACTTTCAATGATCTCAAAATTCTAATATGAGTTCAGATTTTATAATTAATACTCTGAGTGACTGTGAACACGGGCCAAACCCAAATATAATTTTAATCAAATAAGAGAAGTAACTGAAGTGTTCATAAATGTTTTAGATGGTGAAATTACAGTAATGTTTTAAGAGGAACACGTTAGTGGAAAGCTCAGTTAATTTCCACTAAGAATAAAAGACACTCTAAATTATTCTTCTGGTCTAGAGTCAAGAAAATAGCTACATTTTTTTGTTCTACTGGGTACTTACACAATTTCAAACAAGTTATCAGATAATGTCACCTACGAACATTTTTTTTTACATTACATTAACTGAGAAACCCAAGTAGCCATGAGACAAATGCCCATTACTTTATTAAGCTCACTTGCTTTGTCTTGGAGCATCTGAAAGAACCATCCCATCAGATCCAACTCATTTAATTTCTCACGTTTTGGCCTTTAAGATGCAGCGATCACGGGAAGCCGCACCAAAACTAAGGATTATATATATCAAAGGTAAAACTTCCAAGAACACACAATATTTGTTTCTTTTGCGGCAACGTATGCCCCAATTTCTTATATGCCTACCCTTTTCTGTGGCATCTCAGCACAACATTCCTAAAACGAGAGGGGAGGGCGGGAATCAGGACTTGCGCTGCCAAGGAGAAAAGGCCCTCTAAGGAAGCCAGGAATGGTCTCTCTTCTCATTGCCCCTGAAAGCATCCAACGGGGGAGAAACTCAAGCGCGGGGTAGGAAGCAAGACTGAGGGGCCTCAGACCGAGCTTTTGGAAAATAGAAAAGTCTCGCTCTCTGCCCCTCAGCCTAACTTCCTTTATTTCCTCACAAGTTTCTCCCTCAAACTTCGGGCTTCCATCCTGGAAAATGTTGGGGGGGGAGGGGAATATATGTTCCTCAGGATTTCTCGCTTTCCCCTGTCTCTATCCCTGACGGCACAGCCCCTCCCCTTCCAGCGCACTTTTACTCCTCACTCAAAGACACTGTCGCCGTAGCTTCTCATTCCCCAGCCTGACCCTAACTCCCGAATCACTCACTGCCTGCCCGGAATCGCCATCTTGCTCTCGTCTCCGCTGAACGTGGCCGTCGGCGACGTGACGCTACGCAAACGCCGGCGTTGTCACGTAAACTCTCGCGCGGCTTTGGGCGACCGGGAACCCATCTAACGGCGGCCGTCTCTGAGATTATTCTGCAGTGCAGGGAATCGATTCCTACCGCCTTCGGCTTTGTTTGGAAACCGACTGCCTGCTTCGAAATCAGTGGGAAAAAAGGAATGACGAAATTCTTGGCCAGTAGTTCCTAAAGTGTGGTCCTAGGACCAGCAGCATTAGCATCTCCCGCCCCCGGCATTTCTTAGGAATGCAAATTCTTGGGCCCTTATCCCAGACCTATTGAATCAGAAACTCTTGGGGTGGGGCCCAGCAGTCTGAATTTTAACCAGCCCTCCATTTAATTATGATAAACACTCAAGTTTGAAAACCACTACCCTAGGCTATTATTTTTTCCTCTGAGGTGTTCAGTGTGAGTGTTACCTGGGTTAGGGTAACTTGGCAGAGGATGAAAATCTGTATGCTAATAATATTTCATTATAGGAACAAAATGATTAATAATAATAGCATGGTACCGCTGGATTTAGGAATCAAAATCATACACATTTTTTAAAAACCTAGTCACATAGTCACATTCCTACTCAAGCTGGCTCATTCCAAATTAGTCTTAAATAAGCAGCCAAAGAGGTCTTTTCATTTACTGATAGAAGGATGTTAAAATCTCTGTAATTTTGGGCTCGTCTGTTTCTCCCTTCAGTTATGACAATTTTTGTTTCATGTATTTTGAAGTTCTGTTGTTAAGTATTGCACTGATCCCTATACCATTAAGAAACGATCCTCTTTATTTTTTCATTTCTCTTTATTTACTTTTGATTTTTTATTAAAGTATCATTAATATACAATCTTATGTTGGTTTCAAATGTACATCACAGCAGTTCAACATTCCCTGTGATCAACTTGTATTGTGATTGTGAATTACTGTGCCCCTTTATCCCCCCTTCCTCCCCTCCCCCTTGGTAACCAGTAGTCACTTCTCAGTGTCTATGAGTCTAATGCTGTTTTGTTCCTTCTGTTTTGCTTTGTTTTGCATTCCACAAATAGATGAAATCATATGGTATTTGTCTTTCTCTGCCTGGCTTATTTCATTAGCATAGTACACTCTAGATCCACCCCATGTTGTTGCAAATGGCAGGATTTGTTTTCTTTTTATGGCTGGATAATACTCCATTGTGTATGTGTACTACCTCTTCTTCCTTTTTTTTTAAGTGGTAGATCTTCTGGGACTTTCTTTAATTATTGTTTTTTTTAAATTAAGGTATCATTGATATACATGCTTATGAAGGTTTCACAAGAAAAACAATGTGGTTATTACATTCACCCTTATTAATTGAGTTGCCTCTCTGTACTACCTCTTCTTTATTCATTCATGTATTGATCGACACTTAGGTTGCTGCCATATCTTGGCTATTGCAAATATGCTGCACACATGTCTTTTCAAATCAGGGATTTTGTTTTCTTTGGGTGAATTCCTAGGTGTGGAATTACTGGGTCAAGTGGTGTTTCTATTTTTAGTGTTTTCCACAGCAGTTGCACCAGTTTCCATTCCCACCAATAGTGTAAGAGGGTTCCCATTCTCCACATCCTCACCAGCATTTGTTGTTTCTTGTCTTTTGGACAGTGGCCATTCTAACTGGTGTGAGGTGATATCTCACTGTGGTTTTACTTTGCATTTCCCTGGTGGTTAGCAGCAGTAGGGAGCATCTTTTTATGTGCCTGTTGGCCATTTGTATTTCATCTTTGGATAAGTGTCTGTTCAGGTTCTCTGCCGACTTTCTAACCAGGTTTTTTTTGGGGGGTGGGTATTGTGGCATATGAGTCCTTTATATATTTTGGATGTTAACCCCTTATCAGATGAGTTGTTTCTAAATATATTCTCCCATACTGTAGGATGCCTTTTTGTTCTACTGATGGTGTCTTTTGCTGTACAGAGCTTTTAGTTTGATGTAGCCCCACTTGTTCATTTTTTATTTTGTTTCCCTTGCCCAAGAAGATATGTCCAGGAAAAAAATTGCTTATGCTTATAGGCAAGAGTTTTGCCTATGTTTTCTTCTTAGAGTTTCATGGTTTCATGACTTACCTTCAGGTTTTGATTCATTTCAAGTTTACTTTTGTGTATGGAGTTAGACAAGAATCCAGTTTCATTCTTCTACATGAAGCTGTCCAGTTTTGCCAATACCAGGTGTTGAAGAGGCTGTCTTTTCCTCATTGTATATTCATGGTTCCTTTATCATATATTAATTGACCATATATGTGTGGGTTTATATCTGGGCTCTCTATTCTGTTCCACTGAACTATGGGTCTGTTCTTGTGCCAGTACCAAATTGTCTTGATTACTGTAGCTTTGTAGTAGAACTTGAAGGAGCATAATCCCCCCTGCTTTGTTCTTTTTTCTCAGGATTGCTTTGGCTATTCAGGGTCTTTTTTGATTCCATATGAATTTTGGAACTTTTTGTTCTAGTTCATTGAAGAATGTTGTTGATATTTTGATAGGGATTGCATTGAATCTGTAGATTGCTTTGGGTAGGATGGCCATTTTGACAATACTAATTCTTCCTATCCATGAGCACAGGATAGATTTCCATTTATTGGTGTCTTCTTTAATTTCTCTCATAAGTGTCTTGTAGTTTTCAGAGTATAGGTCTTTCACCTCCTTGGTTAGGTTTATTCCTAGGTATTTTATTCTTTTTGATGCAATTGTAAATGGAATTGTTTTCCTGATTTCTCTTTCTGCTAGTTTGTTGTCAGTATATAGGAATGCAACAGATTTCTGTGTATTAATTTTGTATCCTGCAACTTTGATGAATTTAGTTATTCTAGTAGTTTTTTGGTGGATTGTCTAGGATTTTCTATGTGTAGTATCATGTGATCTGCAAATAGAGTTTAACTTCTTCCTTATTAATTTGGATGTGTTTTATCTCTTCGTGTTGTCTGATTGCCATTCTCTTTATTTACTTTATCTGATATTAATATAATGAGCTTCTATTATTAGCACAGTGTATCTTTTTCCATCCTTTTACTTTTAACCTATTTTAGTCTATTTGTGTCTTTATGATCAAAGTGGATCTCTTATTGATAGCATATAATCAGCTCTTGCTTTTTTGTCCAGTCTAACAATTTCTTTAAAACATAATGTGATTTCTATTCCTGAGCTGGAAATATAATGAAGATCTATATAAAATTTTTATCAGAACAAAAAAAACCAATTTGAACTTTTTAGTTACCATCTGTTGAAATAGATGTTATAGAATTATTGATTATATTCTCTATGCTGTATTTTCAGTTTCTTACTTTTGTGTGTTTAGAACATTGTCATCAAAGTGATTGTGTGATTGAAATTTATTTGTTTTTCCATCTGTTCTTTGTTCTCTCTCCCTGTCTTTTATCCCCTTCTTTTGGATTGAGAAATTTTTATGATACACCTTCTTTGTTGTCTTATTACACTTCTTTGTTCATTTTTTTTAAGTTGTTGCTTTGGGGTTTCTAGTATATATCTTAGTACAGCCTATCTTCAAGTAAGAATATACCACTCTATGTGTAGTTTAGAAACCTTACAAAGCTTTACTTCCTTTTTCTGTCTTAGACTTTGTGCTATTGTTTTCACATATTTTACTTCTACTTATGTTAACACACAATAAATTGTTATTTTTGCTTCAAACAATTATCTTTCAAAAGTATTTTTAAAGTAAGAAAAATATCATGTTTACCCTCATATTTGCCATTTCTGGTGTCCCTATATCTTTGTATAGATCCAGATTTCTATCTAGTATAATGATCCTTTTCTAAACAGTTTCATTGAGATATAACTTATATACCATGCAATTCACCAAGTTAAAGTGTACAATTCAATGGTTCTTAGTATATTCAGAGAGTTGTGGTACTATCATCACAATTTTAGAATACTTTCAATGCCTAGAAAAGAAACCGTGTACCCATTAGCCACTCCTATTTTCTGCCAACCACCCTCAACCTTAAGCAACCAGTATCTACTTGCGTCTATAAATTTGCAGTTCTATCAGTTTTTGCTCCATGTCTTTTGAAACTCTGTTTTTAGGTGTATAAATATTTAAGATTGTTATGTCTTCTTAATTAATTGACCTCTTTTTCATTATGAAATGACCCCCTTTATCATGGTAATATTCTTTGCCTTGTCATTTACTTTATGTGATATTATTATAGTCATTCCAGCCATTCCAAAAGTTTTCTTTTGGCAGTAACTCCAGGGAAAGTGAAAAGATGTTCATAAAGGGAAAATAATTGTAACTTACTATATGACTAAGACCTAAATGCATGCATAATCATGATAATGCAAACACTGAATATCAATCTATTCTATTCTAAATTATCTTGTGATTACATCAGGAAGAATGGAGGGATGGGAAATGTGTATTTGTGTGTGTGGGGGCACACACACTGGTGAAGGTGTTTTGTATGGCATACTGGGAGGTTATAAATATTGTCAAAAAAAATAGTAGCCACACAACATGTTATTTCACAATGTGGAGGTACATGTCAAAACTACAGCCAAAATAGGGATTGTCAAACCTTTTATTCAATGAGTCAAATAATAAATGTTTAGGCTTTCTGGGTCATAATTGTTACTCAACTCTGACCTTGTAGTGAAAAGCAGTCACAGACAATATGGGCATGGCTTTTCCAGTAAAACTTTATTAGGCAACTGGTAAGATTTAGCTTATAGGTTGTTTAGTAACTCCTGAGCTAAATGAACTGAAAGTAGCAATAAAAATAGGGTGAGATGGGGTTGGGAAATTCTCTGCTCTGAACAGACCTTGTATAACAGGATGACTCTTTAAACTATGAGCATATATTACTTTGTTTAAAATAAAAAGAGTCAATAGTGGCTGAAAATAAAGCCCCCTACCAAGGCAGTCTGCCTCTTGCTTAAAGAGACTAAATGGGGAATTAGTTACACAAAATTACCCAGCTCAACATCCTTTATCATGTGAGCTTTGAATTGGTTTATCAAATCCTATATACTCCCATTGTATCAGGATGTTGTAATGAAGCACTTGTGAGATTTGCCCAGAGCTAGAAGGCTGAGTTCTAGATGCAGTGTTACAAGAAATTCAAGTTCTTCAATCACTTGTCAGAGTTTGCAGCAATGGTGGTATCTGTAGTGGTGAATTGGAGACACAAAGAAGCTTCCTAACATTTCGAACCCAAGTTTTGGAACCTTAATTGAAAATTCTGGTAAAAGTATCACTACCATACTCCTGATTGTTATGTGAGAGAGAATTCAGACTGTCTTAGACTTCTAGAAGTAAGATTTAAAAACAGAACAGTCCATTGGAATTGGATCCAAGGCAACTGTGGGGACCTCAGCACCCAAACTCATACATCTTCCATTTAATCTTTTGGTTTTGATGTCAATAATGTTACTGCCCTACTCTTTCTATCTCTGCTTTTATTGCCCATTCTTTTCCTTAGCCAACTACTCATTCTCTACACCTTTTCTCTACCTCCAGCTTCTGCTAACTTGTAGTGTCTGGAAGGCATTATGCTTCATTATTTTTAAGGCCTGTCACTTTTGGCCTCTCTAAACAATATCCTTCTAGACACTGCTTCTGTTGCTATTTCCCAGTTTGGTTCTCCACGGTTTGGGCACTTTTATATTAGACCATTTCACAAATCAGTTTCCCTTTGGCAAGGGGACAACCCTAATTCAAAGAGCTGTGGATAGAGAGTTGGGGTCAGATGGAACAAAATCTGGCCACTTAAAGTACCTTACCAGTTTAGGTCTGTGGACAAGAGAGCCTAAGCTCAGGCAGTAGTTTGAAGAGAGGTAAAATAGGGCTAATGACTAGGAGAGGGAACACCACCAAGGATAATTACCGTGCCTAAAGACAAAGAAATAGGCAATATTTAATTAACTGATCTTGTTTATTAAAAGAGGTCTTTATAATAAGATCACAGAGGTGGGTATAAGAACACAGAGTTGATGATGTGGGGTGGAGTTAGGTGGGAGTAGCATTGCATAAAACCTTACATGAGAGCAATAAAAATTCCCTAAATTACCTGCGAAGGGTCTTCGGAGTCATTGGATTGGGGATGTCTATGAAAGTTAAGGGCAATTAGTTGCTTGATTATATTTAGATTAAGAGGGAATGGGAAGTCAGTCACAAGAGACAACATATTGTGATCCCATTTATGTAGTTGCCTAAGGCTGGGGTGAGGGGAAATGGGGACTGACTAGTAATGAGTATGGGGTTTCTTATGGAGGTGATGAACATGTCCTAAAATTGATGTCATGGTCACACAGCTCTGTGAATACAGTAAAAACTATTGAATTTTACACATTAAGTGGGTGAATTGTATAGTATGTGAGTTATACTTCAATGAAGCTGGTAAAAGAGCCAATAGGAGCTTTTCTGATATTCCAATATAATTGTCTTGAAACCTCATGCTGCTCCTGGACCATGAAAAGCAAAAATTAAAAAGGAGAGTGGTCTGGTCTACACTATACAATGTAATTATTATCTATAAGCTACAGAGTAAGAGCTAATAAAAAATCCAGTTAATCAAGCTGAAGCTTCTGAAGTATATATAAATGTAAGTAAATCAATAACTACTGAGTCAAATAGATTTAAATATAAATCTATATCTAAATGCCTTTCAAGTATAAATAACACCCTCTTTACTAAAAAAGGAAGCTCCTGGTATTAAAGTGGGTGGTATTTTACTTAAATGATGGTTAAATAAATTCAAGCAATCTACCTTCCTGATTGCTTAATTCTAAAGTTTTCAAAAGACTGATGACATAGTTTTTAGCCTAATAAAAGTTTGAAAGTGTTAGTGAGATGTCTGGGGTATTGTCAAAGGCAGTAAACCAGAAATTAGGACAACTGGGCTGTAGGACACTCAGGCCTTACTAGCTGTTGTCACCTAGGTAACTCACTCACTTTTTGAGTCTGTTTCCTCATTTATAAAATGGGGACAATAATATTGAGACTGCCTACTTTACAGGTTATTGGGAGGATCAAATGAGCTAGTACGTGAAGATACTTCTAACGAGTTACAGCACCATGCAAATGTATACTTGTTATCATTTAGCTAGATGCTGTCTAGTTAAACTTGGTTTCCATGATAATGGTTAAAAGGTAGCACTTCGCCACGATTTTCCCCTCCTTGCTGCCTATAATGCCATTTGTATTCACAGTGAACTCTTTAAGCTTGTTCTGAAGTCATCAGAATATGTGGCTATCAGTTTAATATCTTCAAGAACATTGTTCCTAGAAATGTTGCTGCAAATGCCCCAAAAGCCCTCTTCCAAATATGAAAACGGCCTTATAGGTTAAAACTGGGTACATGATCATCCAAGAGATGAGGACTGGTAATAACACTGCCATCTTATCAGAAAAGGTTAAAAAGGGACCTCTGATCTCAAGCTATAAGATGTTTGGAACACATCACATTTTGTCAACCAAATAAAGAAAATGAAGTTTAATTTCCCAAAATTTTATTAAAAATGGACTCTGTCATCAGATATCTTATTGCAAAGATGAAATCTCACAACAGAGCAGTAAAGTTTGCTGTAATAACAAGCTTTAAACAAAATAAATTCTCTTTGCAGACTTGAACTCCAGAGGTGTTTTTTTTTTTAAATTAAAAAAAGGTGTTTTCTTTATCCATGAGTCATGGACAAACATTTTCCCACAAGAATTTCTATTCATTGAAATAACTTTAAAGTTGTTAAGGTAAGTGGGGAAGAGGGGGCGGGGTTGAGAAGCGGAAGAAGGGGTACTTATATAAGTCCTTCAAAAATTAGAAGAACAATTCCAAGTCCATTTCTTAAAATCTTTATTACTTGTTATTATTTTGATATAAAAATTGTCATTTTTTTCCAAAAGCTTTGTCTTTAATTTGTACCTTAAAAGGATTGAAATAACTCTACCCAATCAACCATAATAGTTCCATGGCAGATACAAAGCTAAAATTAAAAGGAAACTTTTAAATATATTTTATAACATACATTTGGTTATAGCTACCTTAACTGGACATTTTTTAGATCAAATTTCTCCAAACAGCACTTTTGATTTTAGAAAGTACTGAGGTAAATGTCTAAGAGCAGAATATGTCTATGTGGCACTCCTTTCCAATTGAAAAAAACTGATAGTTAACAAAACTGAACATGACAAAAATACCATAAATACAGTACCAGTTAATCAGCACTTCCCTAGCAAGCTTCCCCCTGGCATTTTTGCATATACGGAGGAATCAGTCTTGGAGGGCAATGGGGGTTTTATAGCACTACTTAGTTTGTTGCTTAGCTCCACAAGAGCTAAACAGATGTGTGTCCAGTGATATAGGTATTCAATGGTAATATCACCAAATTCCCATACTTCAATTCGAGAATGATCTGCACCAAGGGAAAAAAAAAAAGGTTAGTGTGGATATTTTTGTGCTTTTATTATTAAAATATAAGTGTCAGTATTATGACAAAATTCATTAGATGTATTCTGAGTGAAATCCATAGCAGAATCTGGTTTAAATATGTAATTTCATGAAAGCAGGCAGATAAATTTTGGTGTATTCATAAAATGGAGTACTACACAGCATTTAGCAATTAAAGAACTAGAGCTGCATATATCACTGAGGATAAATCTCAGCAACATATTGTTGAGTATAAAAAGTAAGTTGTAGAATAATATGTTCTTTTGGATACACTCAAAAAACAATTTAAAAGCTTGTAAAATAATAGTTTATTGTTTATGGATTTATAAGCATGTAATAAAAGTAAGAAACCATGCATGAAAATAATAAACACTAAAATTAGTAGTAGTAGTATTTCTAGGTAGGAAGAAAAGAAAAAAAGGGACCAGGCAGGGTCAGAAAGTCTTAACTCTTCCTATAATGTTTTATTTCTTTAGAAAAGTCAGACTCAAACATGTGTAATATTAAGGCTGGATATAGAATATGGCTCTGTAATGACTATACTGGTGTTAGTCTCTAACTTCTATGTTTGGAGCTTTTGCTAATTAAAAATTATTTTTAAATTTATAATCACTGCACACCAGTGTTATGCTTTATTTGTTAAACTGCAAACTATTCAACTGCCATTTCAAAAGTTGCTTTTTTCCCAGGAGTCAATGACTAATATTCAGATAGAATAGCCCAATGGAAAGATAATATACTTTAGAGTTGAAAAGATCTGGATTCCAATCTTGGCTCTACCCCAACTAGTTTTGTGACCTTGAGCAGGTCACTTAATTGCTCTGAGCCTGATTCTTCTTCCCAAAAAACAGGGATAATATCTCAGAATTGTTTCCTCAGAGGATTAATGAGAAAAGATATGCAACAATCTGTCACAGAGTAGTTGCTCAAAAAAGTACTAATTATTTTCCTTTTTCTAGGTGCCTTCCACCCTCAGATCTGTTTTATTCATTTTTGTTACTTTTAATGTGGAGTCTAACCCAATAAATGTTTACTGATCTCAGTTGAATAAGCCATTAAATGATACTTATAACTGAATAAGAGGTTTTAAAACCATCCTCCATCCAATAGATCATTAACAACAGTGACAATATGTCACTCATGGCTGTCTATTAGAACAAAAACAACATATTTTACTTCCCTATCTTCTGTCAACATGAAGGAAAAGGTTCCCTGAATTAGATCTAGCCTTTCTATGATTTTGAAGGTCAAAATCACTACCACAAAAGGTATTATATGAGATAGGAAAGGCACATAAAATGTGGAAAACATTCACAATCTCATTTTTTATTTGAAACTAAGTTTAAAACATGTGGGTACCATTGTCTAAAATTCTCTTTTTTAACACAGAAAGACACTGACTTCTCTCAATTGTTAAGTACTCAATATATGTTGAATTGAAATAACATTAAATTACGGAATAATTTAATTAAGCTTTAAAAATACGAACAGTCTTTTCAGATTATAGCCTAGTAACATTAGTGACAATTATAAAGACAAAAACTAATGCTCGTCGTAACAGCACATTAAGATACCCAATTCATCTCATGCTATGGGCAATACTAGACCAATCAACATACATACTTAAAATATTGAGGTGCATTTGTTATAATTGATTTCTTTTCACATTAATTAGCTTCCTGGAACCTTTACAAGATAATGCTATAGGCTGATTCGATTATCTTCACGTTCCAGCGTTATGAACTAAAGTTCACCGGAGAACACTCCTAAAACCAGCCCTAACTAATTTTCTGACATAGAACAGCTCCACTGCTCTCCACAGCTTTTATTCTGTCCTTTCCAAATCCCCATTAAGAGCTCTGGTCCATTGACACCTGCCTCAGTGTTCTTATCTGAACGTACAAATGAACAAACCCCTATCTGCAGTCATTATTAAACTAGACAGTCATCTCCACGGTGACTCAAGGACGTGAGGATAGGGAGCGAAGTCGCTCCCTTTCACAAGCCCCTGTTACTTATTTCCTGTCTTATTGTTACCGGGGACAGAAGCTCTGAGCCCGTTTGGGCGGCGGTTCTTGTTTGCCTGCCCTTTCCAATAAGAGATTGACGCGTTAACAACTGGCTGCAAGTATTATTCTAAAGAAGCTTCTATCGCTCTGTTGGGTTCCCATTAACAATGGTTGGGCGCGACTGCCCTCTTGTGGTGGATAGATGCCAGGATTTTGTAGCTTGGTAGACGACAGAGGCAATTTGCACAGATTCAGTAATTTTTTCAAGCAGATACATATACCACTTTTGTTTCTTTTCTAACTATAAGAAATTATGATCTTTTGCTTTGCCTTGGTTAACGTTATAGTAAATTATTTGAAGACATCTGAGCTAAAATAATTGCTGGGTCAAACTTTGAATCTTTATGAAACTTAATTCAGAAACATTTTATGGTATTTTTGTAGGTCTAGTTTAATCAGGCTTAATTCATAAGGAATTCATTTTGCTGAATACATTGGGATATTATAGGATATTAATAATTAAAACTCCATTTGTGGATCTGTGCTTTAACACTACATTAAGTTTAATCCTTTGGGAATTACATGCAATTAGAAAGATGGGCAAAGCAAAAAAGAATGAAGTACTCAAGCTTCAAATTGAAAAGTTAAAATGTAACTACTACTTTCAACTAACCGAGATCAACAGTATTTCTTGAATTCTTCTCTCCTTATCATTAACTCATGTTAGTTTTAGTTCTCTTATTTCTATTGTTTCATATACCCTATGTCACCCTTAACAATACTGACATATGCAATGAGCTGAAGGTCCATGCAGCTTTATATACTTTAAAGGATATGTGTGTTTATATTTCAATCAGTTATTCAATCATATAATAGATCAGCTATCTATTATATGTAGGCAGGAGAACTTATATTTGCCATGGCAGTTGGGCATTTAATATATGATTGTAATTTAATGTGGCTCCAAAGATACTGTAGATTGCTGCTTCCAGATTATTGGGAAAAAAATCAGTGTTAAATGGGAAGGTAAAAACACAGTTTTTCTTGAGTTATCAAAGCTTGGGTGGAGTTCATCTTACACTGTACATTTGAGTTCTTGCAGGTATATTAACTTCATTCCTAATGTAAGCATAATTTCTGCACAATACTGCATTGTATTGGCTTTTTTCATGACATAGTTATAAATCAAATTATGTGAGAATTGAAATCAATGCAATTTATCTTTACAAAAATTCCTCATTTAATGTAGTAGCCTCCAAATTTTTTATTATGTACCTCAATCAGTAACATGTTGAACATGAGCCCCCACATATGTATATTTATTTCTAAATTATTTATTTTGAAGCATTTTTAAAGAAAAAGTAGAAATTGGACAATGATGGGGTAAAGTCATAAATAAAAGTCCTAGTATATATATTTTTGTATCCCAAAGATACAGATATCAGTTGTTTGCCCCTTTTGTTTGCTCCTTTTTGTGTGGAGTTTAGTGGGGCAAACTTACAGGGGTCCCAGTATTGAGCATACACATTCATATGCTCCCTGTTTTCACTGTGGTACTCTTCATCTCAGCTGTGCGTAATGTCCTCTTATCCAGAGACTTTGTATGTTAACCTCTCCAAGGGATAAATTCCTAGAGTTCAGGAAGGTAAGTTGACCAGTGGTGTGATGTAGAGATAAGATACAGATATCAAAACACTAAAACAGAAAGAAAGAGGAGAAACCACAAGGAAAAGAAAACTTCAAAAAAAATTATCATTAAAGCCAGAGAGATGACATTGCAGTCATGAAACATGGACAAGATATTGCACAAAGCAAATATTCAGAGGATGACAACAAAAACTCTTAGACATTAAAACATGTAGAAAAAATTTAATAGGATTAGAGGGGAAGGTTGAGAGAATGTCTCAGGAAGTGAAGCATAAAGACAAAAATATGAGAAATGTAGAGAAAAGATAGGGATTTTGGAGACCAAATCTAGAAGATCCAGTGTCTGTGTAGGGAACACAGGAGAGGAAGGACAGGGTCACCACCAACCTCCAGGTCACCTTTTGGTAAAAAATGAGAAAAGGACATCTACTATGGATGAATGCACTCTGTGAGCACAGAGCTTCATAAACAGAAAAAGATATATAAAGAAAAAGATGCCCCCTCCAACCAGACATAGCCTTGAGCTAAGGCACAGAGTTTAGTGAATGGAATCCTGATTAGATTTCATCTCTTACCCACCTCTCAGCAGGGCACCTTTGTTCAGTGTATGAACTATACAGTTAAGTAGCAACTTTGATGCCATGGAGGAAATCATAAGGACTTAAGGATCTCAGTTTCACAACTGAGAAGTCCCAGTGAGTGTTCAGATCAATGGATGAAAACAAGTCCATACCAAGGCATATCACTAAGACATTTCACAACCTAGGACATAAAGGGGTGGCTCTCCAGCTTCTGGAGAGAAACCAAAACCAAAACCAAAAGGTCACATGCACAGAATCAGTAATCAGAAAGGTTTCAAGTTTTTTGGACAATGAAACCATTTCCTCAAGAAGTTAAACATAGAGTTTCCATATTCCACTCCCAGTTATATACCCAAGAGAACTGAAAACATGCTCAAACAAAGATCTGTAAACAAATGTTCAGAGAAGCATTATATACAACAGCAAAAAAGTAGAAAAATCCCATATGTCCATTCAACTGGATAAATGGATAAATTAAATGTGGTATGTCCATATAATAGAATATTACTCAGTCATTAAGAGAAATGAAGTTCTGATACAGGCTAGAACATACATGAACCTTGAAACATTATGCTAAGTGAAAGAAGCCAGATATAAAAGGCTATCTATTATATGATTCCATTTATATGAAATGTCCAGAATAAGTTAAGTCTATGAGTCAGAAAATAGATGAATGATTGCCAAGGTTGGGTAGGGAAGGGCAAGCGAGAGTGACTGATAATCCATAC